AGGACGCGCGCGCGCGGGCGCATTCTCCGTTTCTGCGTTCGGGCAACGTTTTCTTCACGAGGTGTCCGGAATCTTCGTATATAATTTACGACGCTCGCGATAACGTTTGAAGAAACGAACGAAGTTGCTACGTTGCGCGACGAATACTATAACGAATATTAATAAGCGCGCGGTTAACGCGCGCGTAATATTTTCATTTGCGCGACGCGCATAAATGTCATCTCAGTAAACTGAGATATTTTTATCCGCGCGTACGCGCAATTTACATTTACATCGCGCGACGTTCTGCAATTTTTATGGAGCGACATGCATTTTGCCGGCAAGTGCGATAAAGAGACACTCTTGTTTACGCAAAATAAAGTGCACTTACAGAAAATACGACGCATCCTTATCAGAAAAGTGTTTCCGGACAGAGAAAGAGAAGAAGCAAACATTTCTCCCGTATTGTTTATCGCCTTGTCGTAGATAAGACAGTGATGTCTGTTTGATACAATATCTTTTTACGGTGGTCGCGCGACCTCTATCGATTTACTGCAATTCATATTGCACATATAAATAACCGTGCATATCCTTTCGCAACGAAACAAACCACCACCACCACCACCATGATATATTATTGTCATTTGCCGTGTCTGTTAAATAATTTAACACGGAGACAGGCGCGCAACACTCTTTTCCATCTCTCGCGATAGCGTCTATTTAATTTTAATGATACATTTGTCCGTTTTATAGGTCCAATTTATTTGAACAAGAGGCGCGCGCACTGCGCGCGCTGCATTATTAAAATTTTTACTGCGATCTCTCTTCCGCACGTACGTACGTACTCGCAAAAGTGCACGCAAAAGCAAGATAAAATTTCATGCTTCGTTTATAGCATTATACAGTTCGTACTCCGTATATAATATTTTCTTCGGTACGAGAACTCTCTCCGCGCGGCGATCCTCATCTACTCAGGCAGGTATATAACGTTTTCCGTCCGCGTGTTTCTTTCTTCTCTCCGGGATGAGAAAAACGAACGAAAAGTCCGGAGGTTGCCTCTCGCTGACATTTCCGACACGGAAGTCTCGCGCGTGCGCGCGCGTGTGTCGAATGCAAAAAAGGGCTGCGAGTGAAGAATAGAGTCTGGGCGCGTCAAATTTTTTTTTCTCGCGCAAAAAATATTTAGTTCCTGACGTTTATGTTCGCGAAGTATATAGTACAGTATATATACGAATTACGCGCTCAATCGTTTCGAAACGCGCGCGCGCGCGCGCGAGTACGCTATTATGCGTGAGTCGAATATTTACGCGCTCGCTTAAATTTAGCCGCGCACAATGCCACCGTTTATCGGAAATTTATCGCGCGCGCTCGTTAAAGTATTCCGGGTTTTTTGAATTGTGAATATTTCATTCTCTTTTCAAAACTTTCGCAGCGGGTGCGCGTTTCGATATACCGCGAGAATTACATCCGTCGTTAAATTATCTATTATCGAGCGTACGTCAAAATGTATCGAAAATGTGTTCGTGTAAGAAAAAAGAGAAAGAAGTTTATTTCACCCACTTGATTAAAAAAAAGTACAACGCGTGAGTTACGTTTATTGTACACACGCTTGATAATTTCGTTGTGTAGATTCTAAACCGCACGTTTTCTGTTTTCTCTCTCTCTCTCTCTCTCTCTCTCTCTCTCTCTCTCTCTTTCTCTCTTTCTCTCTTGTTTATTCGCTGTCCCGCAATTTTCCCAACAACGCGCTGTATCGAGCTCTCGAATGCGCATAAAATCGACACGTGCAATATCTTCCGGACACTGTGCGCGCGCCTTCCGTTTCTGCGAAGTTTCCGCGCGCAAATCCGTAACTTGGTCATTTAACATGTTTATTCCACCACGTTGTTTCCTCTTGTTTCGATGGTTATCCGCCACCGAATCGATATCCGACGCAGCTTTGGCGCGTCCCGTTGATGTCTATCTCTCGCGTGGGGAAACTCTCGAATGTCACGCAAACAGCAACATTAAAATATCACACCTCTACTTCAACAAACTTACGCAAGTGAGGCAGACGCTAAGAAATTTTATGTCTGAATCTAAGAATTAATATAAAAATAATAAGTACACAATTGTGTATGTGTATGTGTGTGTATGTGTGTGTGTGATTTCCTCTTCAGTTAAACAAGTTTTCCCCGCGCTTGAGTTGACGGAGATAAATGTGTATCCTATTTGTGAAGTGAATGACAAGATATTTTCTCGCACGATTCTCTCTCTCTCTTTCTCACACGTGTCGGATTCTTATGTAAATTGCGCGTGACGGTTTTCTTATGCAATTTGCATGAAAGATGCGCATTTCACAAACCAATCGTCTATCCTTCACGTAACGCCGCTATGCGAGCAGCGACATGTGTTTCCCCGCTTGTGCGTCAACCCTGCGGCGCGATATCTCGTATCCGGAAAGGAGAGGAGGAGGGGAGAATATCGGCGCGATATCGGCGTACACAAATTCTCATAGAGTCGACCTGCATACATATCGACGCTTTGGCAAGCGCCGCGTGGCTGGAACTGCAACGTCGTGCATGTATGTACGGAGCGTATATGCAATCTTGAGCGATGTTCTGGGCGCTACTCTCTTCCGGATGTCCAATTTGGAAATTTATGGGACACCCGACTCTCGCGCTCTTAACACACCGGCCCGCGCGACGCGCATTTCAATATACGTTTTCCCCACATAACGTGGATCGCTTTGCCCACAGAGATATGATTCGCACGCTTCGTTGTTGTCGTGATATTTTTTAGTGTCTCGTAACTTTCATCGAGTTTTTTTCCCCGTCATCGAGATTTATTTAAATTGATGTTGATGAAAGGCAACAGTTTTTAGCCAAACTGAAAACTTTATGGGAGAGAAAAAAATATCAGGTAACTTCTGTATTGTACTCTGTGTATTGTTTTGTACTAGTATTACGTCACACACAGATCAAGTATTTTTAAAATACGTAAATAAACAACTTTTATTATATTTAATTCTCTCTCTTTTGCGCACGTATTTACTTATTCGTCTATAATATAAAAAATATTACGTAGAAAGACTTCAAAACGCGTTTCTCTCTGTATGTTTGCAATTCAAATGTGTCACTTGAATAAGGTATAATATTTACGTCACACACAATACGAGTCTGATAATTATGCCGCGATTTAAATTTTAAAGGAGGAATTTCCAAATTTGTATCACACAGAGAATAAATGTCTGAGATTTGAATGCGGGAGACATCTCTACGTGTGTGTGTGTGTGTGTGTTTTGCGAGATGTATGTACATTTGCCACGCATCGCGCGTGGAATGTTGTTTCAGAGCAACGGTGATGAGAGCGGAGAATTAATATTCTGCTTCGAGAAATTTCGGTCATTTCCCGCGTTCATTCCCGACAACACGCACACAATACGTCACCGATCTTGCGCGCGCGCGCGCACGTATACGCGGCGCTCTCCCCGTGTGATGGACGTTCGACAATCCGTTTTCCCGCGTGTGTCTCCCGAAATACATACATATATATGGAAACTTGTAATTATTTTCCGTGTCATAGGAAACGCGCTGTGCCTCTTCATTAAAGGGTTCTCCGGAAAAGGATAATTAAAAGTTTCACGAGAGCACGCAAAACGCACGCGATGGGACGGCCCAAATATCCCCGGTGTTCGTACTTTGCAATTTTGTCGGGGCTTTCGCTCTCTTTCTCTGCGCTATTTTGTTTTTATTTTTTTTTTTTTTTTTGATTTTTTTTATTTACACCGTTACAGAAAAGATTCCATCGATACGTGAAAACACACAAACTGAAAAGTTATTTAAACAAAACGTCAAAATGGAGAATGCGTGTGAGCAATTCGGACATGCATACATAGTGTCGTATCAGGACCGATCGCTTATACGTGCATTTGTTGTTTGTTTTTTTTTTGCGGCTTTTATTTGTAAGCGCGAGACAGAATATTCGATAGCGCGATATCCTCGTTGAGAGAATACGCGCAGCGTATAGGGAACGATAATGTCTTGTGTTGCGCCGAGCATTTCCGGGATGTCGATGTTGCGTTTGTGCCTTCTTAAACGCGTGAGCCGCGCTTTGTACGTTTATGGGGTTCCCTTGTCTCGCGAGACTCGTTACGCGACAAGAGCCGGCGCGTCCCAGACAGAACCGGTAAGAATGGGCACTTAATTAAGGTGGACTTTAATTAAATTAAAGTCTTTAATTAAGTTGCTTCAGTTAAACAAAATAAATCTTATCGTGACACAGGGGGCACTAATATAAATTACTTAATTCCACGTAGGACGCTGGTCTCTCTCTCTTTCGTAGTTTGCGCGCGACGCTAATTGTGTCGTTGTAATTAGTTTGCATTTTAAACGGCAAGATATATATATATATGTATACACAGAACGCCTTTGTTCCGTGACGAGAGAATCGCGTTACAACATTACAAATTTATTCTGCTGCCAATACCTGCTTTTTAAGTTGCTTAAGAACGCGCCGGATGTCTCGTTGTACAATCTCATTGCTACTTCGTAACGAGTTGGTGTTGGCATTCGCCAAGTTTCTCTGCGAAATTATTTCCCGCAAAAATTACGTTACATACATACTTACGTACACAACATTCGTAAATAAAATTTCAGTTTTTTATCATCGAGCTACGAAAATGTGGTACGAAAAAATAAAAACGACAAAAACTTGCCGTTATTATTGCTTGATCACAAGCAAATTTCGAATTGAAATCCCCGAATTGATTGTGAGATTGAAAAATAATGCGTTCTAAAATATAACGGTGCTAAAAACGCAATAATGGATTTTCTGTGTCGCGATTGCAATTGGTGATGGCACAAATTTGTTATAAAACGGAGAAACGGCGAGCTTTTTAATTAACGCGCGTGTGTACATATATATATATATATATATATATATATATATATATATATATATATATATATATATGTATATATATATGTATACTACATACATTGTAACTAATTTTACTAATACTAACCCTGTTATCTTTCCAGACGTGTCCTACAAGCCGCGCCATTCGGTTATCGAGGGTAAGTATTTTTACTCATAATACATGTAATACTAATGGTATGCCAATCTAAATCGAGGGGGAGCTCATCCGTTTGAAGCTCGACAGTTACATATACATATATGTATATATGTATATGTGTAGTAACGGTTATATGTACATATATATATATATACGTATTATATATGTAGAGCTTTGTACAAACGCACACTATGATAATATTGATTTTCCAAATATAACGGACAGCGGTGTTTCGCGTCACTTCCGCATGGTCTTTTGGGGTCGATTTATCGGTTGTTTTTCCGCTTAAACCGATATTAAACATTAATTTCGATATGTCGCGCATTTCGAATCGCAAAAAGTTCGGTTATTCGCGTGAGAATAACGCGCATAACAAGTGATTCGCATTCCGAACTAACGCGCTTGTTTGCAACAACTCGATCGATTTGCGTGCCGAAAATCTGATTACATACAACGTGCGCGCGCGCAAAAAGCCAAAATCGCACGGCTACTTACGGTCCCAATGAAACCGCGCGTTAAGTTCGCGCGCGCGCACGCTGATGTATTATAATAAACGGTCTTCGGAGAGGCCTCCCAGCGAAATCGCAGATTTAGATAGCGCGACACGCGACGTTTCGGAACGTGTTGTTCCGAAGAATGACTCGACGGGGGAATTTCGAACTACTACGATTGCGGTGATATTGTTCAATTATACGCAAAACGCGCGACGATCTTTCTCTCTCTCTCTCTCTCTCTCTTGTGTAGACCGCAACCGTGAAATTGCGTTATAAAAACAATCGCATGCGTGTTCTTGCCACACCGTTCTGTCCGCAACGCGAACGCGATTTTTGAAGATACACTCCTCAACGACGGTCGTCAACAAAAGATCATAAAAAAAAAAAAAGAAAACGTCATTCGCAATAGGCCGGTTTCGAGATATCAAAATTCCGAGATGGCGATCCGACGCTTTCTTTTTTTTTTTTGTTCCTCTTCTTCTCTTTTTATACGCGCGGTTATGTACACACGCGTGTATTTGGATAAAATACAAACACAAACAGAGTCCTTAGTAAAACATAACACGCTGTGAAAATTTCTCGCTCGCTCGCTCGCTCGCTCGCGCGCGCGCTATCCGAATGTTTCCGTTGGTGCCCGTTTCCCGCGGGCGATGTTACGTACGTGCATCGCATACGCGCGGGATATTGACACAGTCTATTTTGTATTTCCGAGAGAGCCCATCCTCTTCTGTTTCCGCCTTATTTTTTCGCATCAATCCATCGCAGCGGTGGAGTAATCCCAAACCGACCAGAGTGCGTCCCAATCTCCTCCTTCGGGGGCGCGTCGTTTTCTAAACACAAAATCGTTCATCGAAACGCACTCTCGGCGAGTGTATCTCGACGACCGATACTCTTCGCGACACTATATTTGCGATGCTTAAAAAATATGTAACTCCACTCCATGAACTCCGTCGCGCTCCCGTAGTATCCATTCTCTTTCCTCTTTTAACTCATCCGTTCGATTCGGATCGTTACGATTCTTGTTACGGTCATTTCATACCTCGTGTTTACTCTCGTTATCGCAACTGTACTCTCTCATTACCATCGGCCATTCTCTCTCGTTAACGAGAGATCCGTAGAACGTCCGCAGAACATACGTCCGGAATATCACCGTTTTCCACTCTCGTCTTTCCGCATCGTTTGACCAATTTTTGCGGACGAAGTGAGAGAACAAATGAGGAGATGCGTCTCGAGATGTGTGCGGGTTACAGATAGATAAAAAAACCGTCGATTCTTTATTTAGCTCCTTTAAACGAGGTCTCTCTCAGTCCGACGGTTTTTTATTTTAATTTAATTTTATAGTTATCTAGAGTTATACTTTACGTACCGGTGGAAACGGAGAGGAAAACGCCAGTTGAAACTGTGATTTTTCGCACACACGCGCGTGCGCGTCACCCTTATCAAAATGTATTGCAATTTCTCTCTTTCTTCACACGGAATCTTAATGGCGGGCGCGCCCGGTGCACGACCGCGCCACAGAGTTATAAAGTCACCGTATGTACGACGGCTTCTCCATTATCTAATCCGCTTTGGCCATTATGTCCAAAGGGAGAAAAAGTGAGAAATAGAAAACGAGCGAGAGGGAAAAAGCGCAAAACGAAAACGGAAGAGAACGGAACGGAGATATATTTATAATGCATAAATTTTCACGAAGATTGAATCGGCCGGCGGATTTCTGCCTTCGGTAATTATAGCCATTTGCCGACGGGCGCGTTAATTAATGGTGTCCAGACTGAATTTAAATAACAAACACGAGGGGAGATCGCCGATAGTTCTCTCTCTGGCTTTCTCCCCCTTCCTCCCGGATTGATGTATTTTGCGGAGAGTTCTCCTTACATGTGGCTCTCGCGATGATAATTACGTTTATCACTACGTATAATTTATATACGCGAAAGTAAATTTTTTAAAATTTGCGCGCAAAACGCGCGCAAGGGATTTCAAAATTGATTTCTTTCGAACGTTCGTCATCGTTGCGTTGTATCCATTTTGACAAATATCAAATTTACGAAAACTAGATACGACGGACATGCGCGCGACATTGATTTTATCAAAACGCATCTGACACATGTAACCCCGAATTGTCGAAAATGTTTGACAGCGCAGCTCGAGCTACGAAAAACCGCATAAAGAACCAATCACCGTCGCGATAAAAAAAAAAGTGTGGTAACAAATAACGTCGAAAGAACTTTGATATGTTTCGAGTTATACATTTCACATGTCTTTTTAAAGACAGGATTCACCGTCGCTTTTTGTGTCACAGAAAAATAAATTTACTATATTTTCACACAAAAAAAAAGAAAGAAAATGACAAAAAACCAAAGTGGGTACAAAGTGTCATCCAATTGCGTGTGTAGACTCGTATTATTACCGCATATCGCGCGAATGCGGAGATGTTATTTGAGCTATTGAGGTCTCTTTGGTTCTTCCTTGGGCGAGCTTCTTAATTTCCGGACGCTTTGATAATTAGCTTTTAAAAGATTAAATTTTAATTAGAACGAAGATCATTTTCAAGAGAGCATTTAAAAAAATCAACTTCCTTTCCTTAATTACATTTCTGCAACTTTTATTCGTCAGACCGTTTAACGTGCTTAAACGTGAAAAACACTTTTTCACGTCGAAAGAGTTGCTCGTGAGATGTATAAAACGAAAGAAAAAGAGAGAGAGAGAGAGAGAGAGAGAGAGAGAGAGAGAGAGACGGAAGAGGAAGGAGTAAATTTCTTCATTGCGGATGCGATTCGATTATGCAATCATTGTCGATCAAATCATCGTCGATTATTGTTTACTACACACACTGGTATACAACGAAACTCAGTAAATTTAATAGCGATTATATTTCCGACAATTGGATCTGTTGGCAAAGTTTGGAAACTCGTATTGCTGCCAATTAACAGCGAGCTAGTTCGCAATCGTTCGCGAAACACGCGTCAATGGATGCTCCTAGACGTGTACAATTAGCGGCGAATATTCGACGCACGCACGTTCACGCACGCGCGCGCGCACACACACACACGCGAACGCAACTTATTCACAACGTGAAAATTCGTATGAAAACTTCTTCAGAGAGATGTTAAATATTCAAACTATTCAAACGCGGCGAATTGTGTCGAATAGTACACAACAGAGAATGATATGATGAATATATACATATATATATATATATATATATTATTATATACGTGAATATATCGCGAGTGATGTTATATATGTGTATAAAACTCACGCGCGCGATGTTTTTTTTTACCGTATCGGAGAAAAGCGATTGCATACATACACATACACAGCCTTGAAATGGACTATTGCGCTACGTTGATTACACGTCATGTAATACAACACGCGTTAGTAATGTGTACATATCCGATCTATATTAATGTCGAAATTACCGACAACTCGTATCCCCTGCAATTATAATGTTCATTACCGCGTTCGATGAGGTTGTTCGCCGCTGCGCGCGGTTTCGTACGCCCTGGCCATAACTGCCGGGCAAAAAATTCCGCGAGACTGTTGTTTGCGCACTTAACAAAAAGTATACAAATTTTCGATTATTATACGTATCGAACGATATAAATTTTCTTGCGTGTGAGCGCGCGAAGTTCTTCGATTTCTTAAACATATTTTCCACGCGCGTTATCCAAAATTAATGCTTTCAGAATTAACATCGAAGTTTCTCATCATTTTCGGTTCGGTAATGGCGCGAAACCGTTGGTGCGATTAATTTGATCGAATGTATTTAACAGTTACGCGGATTCTACGTGTTCGCTCGCCTAACCGGAAACACGCACGTATGTGCAGACGACAGAGAGAGAAAATACGTTACATATTGTATATAACGCGAAGTTTTGTGCAAACAGACAAGTCCACGTACACGCGTGTGTATATGTGTGTGTGCGCGCGCGCGCGGCTACGTGCTCGCATATTACACAAGCTGTGTATAGCTATACGTGCACAAATATACAACGTGACTCTTCTTGTGAATTCCGATAGCGTTTGGAAAGAATTGTTTACATTGTGCCAAGTGATCTGCACTGAAGACAATGTCGGTGTAATCTATAATAAAAGAAAAAAAACTAATAATTTCCCTTTCGTTTAAAACTGATTTTAAATTATATAAAATACAACCGAAAGGAACAAACGCTGCGCCGTTTCTTCTTTTTCTGAACATATTTCATCGTGTAATATCTATTGACATGTTATAAGACTCTGTTACTTTTCGGAAAAAGAGCCCGAGGAAGTCAATGGTTTTTCGATTCGTCGTTGCAATGGCAATTTTTTAAAATAAATTTTCTCTTTTTTTGTAGCAAATTGAACATCTATTACATCGTAATAGATGTTCTCTCTGTCTCGTAATCTGTCTCCGTTTCTCCCGACGTTCAGCACAGACGAGAATGCAGATATATTCGCCTTCGGAACGCATTCTCGCGGACGTTCTCGATAATCGTCGTTTGCGTTTGAGAGCCACTGTTTCCCCTCC